TGACGGATCAGAAGCCAGTCGGCTCGCTGCTGCACGGCATCTTCTTCGAAGAGGCGAGCTGGGGCAAAGGGCTGGCCAGCTGCTCGTGGGAGGGTTCAGGGATGGCGTGCCCGCTGGCCGGCCTGCATGATCGCCCGCCCCTGTCTCCCTGCCCACCTGCCCACACCTGCAGATCGGCCACGCCGGCGACGGCGGTCTGTACGAGGAGAGGGTGCAGGACCGCTCGTTTGACGCCATAGCCAAGGCCACAGGCTTCCTCGCCTCGCCCCACACCCGCCTGGCCGTCAGCCTGCCAGACCTGGCCGCCGCCGCCGCGCAGGCGCAGGCGGGCTGGCAGGATGGCGGCTCCAGCGGCTGCGGCTGCGCGTCGGCGCGGCGCCGAAAGCAGCAGGGCTGCAGCGGGTGCGGCGCCAACGACCTCATCGTCGCCTGGCAGCCGCTCCCGGGTGAGAGAGCCCGCCCGCCAGATGCGGGAGCTGCGTGGTGCGATCAAGCCTGCTCACACCGCGTGGCCAGCAGGCCTGTCAGACCACCTGTTCCCCACCTGCCCCCCCCGCAGGCACCACCACCACGCTGACCAGGGAGCAGCCGGTGTGCCGCGGCAACCCAGTGGCCATGGAGCTGGGCAGCGGCGGCGGCGGCGGCCGCGCCGGCCTCGTCAACACGGGGTACTGGGGAGGTGGGCGGGCACCCAGGCCCGCCTGCGGCTGCTGCGCTGGCTGCCCTCGTAGAGCGCGAGGCTGGGGGCAGCCTGCACATCCACAGCAGGGCGCCCCTCCTCCGCGCACACACACACTCACCCCCTCCCTCCCCTGCTGTCGGCCGCAGTGTCTGTGGAGGCGGGCACCCGCTACTCCCTGTCTCTCTACCTGCGAGTCCCCGAGGGCGCCGGCCCCTCCAACGCCACCGTCTCCCTGCTGGCCGGCGGCGACGAGGCCGGCGGCGTGCCGCTGGCGAGCGCCAGCTTCACTGGGCTGACCCTGCAGTGGCAGCGGTACCGCGCTGAGCTGGCCAGCAGCGCCACAGACCACCAGGCCCGCCTGGCGGTGAGACGACCAGGGCGTGGCGTGGCATGCGCAGAGCCCGAGCATGCACCTCAGCCACGCCGATGCCAGGAGGAGGGCGATACTGATGCCCCTGCCTTGCCCCTGCCTTGCCCCCGGCTGCCCGCCCCCTGCAGGTGCTGTTTGACGGGCCCGGCAGGCTGGCTGTAGACTCAGTGTCACTGGTGGCGGCGGCCAACGCGGAGCAGGGGCAGGCGCAGGGGCTGCTCAACCCCTGGCCCTTCCGCGCAGACCTGCTGGCGGCGCTCAAGGCACTGCAGCCCAGGTTGGTGGGCGGGAAGCTTGCATGCCTGCACACCACCCTTCGCTGTGCCTCTCGACAGCTGCTCATGGGTGCGGGAGGGATGTTTCTATGGCAGCTGCCTGCTAACCTTGGACGTCGGCGTGGCAACGCCCTGCCGCTTCCCCTCCACCCCCCCACACACATCCGCAGGTTCCTGCGCTTCCCGGGCGGCTGCTACGTGGAGGGCGACTGGCTGCGGGGCGCCTTCCGCTGGAAGGAGGCGCTGGGGCGCAACGAAGAGCGGCCGGGGCACCACAACAGGCACGGCTCCTCTCGGGGGTGGCGCTGCCGCCTACACAGGCGCAACAGGAGCCCGCGTAGCGTCTGGCTGGCTGGCATGCCTGCCGTCAGGCAGCTCCTGGCGGTGCTCTGCCGTCCTCACCTGTGCCCGCTCAGCTCCCTGTGCGTGTGCAGCATGTGGGGCTACTGGTCCACCGACGGCCTGGGCCTGTTTGAGTACCTGCTCCTGGCTGAGGAGCTGGGGGCGGAGCCGGTCTGGGTGGTGAACAACGGTGGGCGGGCTGCACCGGCGGGGGCGGGGGCAGGCATGGGCTCGCCCGCTGACCACCCCCTGGTGTGGGGCATGCTGCTCCCTGTGTGCTGGGCCTTGGAGACCCCGGGAGCGAGGCTGACCGTGCCACGCTCGGCTGGTGCTGCTGTGTGCAGGGATCGCACACAACGACCAGGTCGCCACTCGCGACATCTGGCCCTGGGTGCAGGCACGCGCAGGGAGGAAAGGGAGCAGGCAGTACCATGCATGGGAGGCGCAGGCGGTACCCTGCATGGAGCCCGGCAGGGGCGGCGCCCGGCACGTCACCCCGTGCTTGCCCTCCCTTGCCCTGCCTTGCCCTGCCTTGCCCTGCCTCCCACCGCAGGAGGCGCTGGACGGCATCGAGTTCATCTCCGGCCCAGCCAACTCAACCTGGGGGGCGGTGCGGGCCGCCATGGGGCGCCCCCAGCCCTGGCGCCTCAACTTCCTGGCCATTGGCAACGAGGCCAGTGGGGCGGGGGCCCGCGGGCTGCATGCGCCGCCCGCTGGCCAGTGAGCATCCGCCTGTTGCCGGCATGAGTACCAGCATGAGCCCATGCTGGTACCGCTGCCTGGAGCCACCTCGTGATGGTACCGCTGCGCGCAGGGCTGCGGCCTGCCATGGGACACACCCAACCCAAACTACCGCCCCTTCTACTGGCAGGCACGGCTTGCCGGCAGCGGCGGCATCAGCCGCGCCGCGCCACTGTCAATGGGTAGGCAGCGGCGGCAGCGGGCAGTCCCCCGCATGCGCCCCCCTGCTGCCACGCCTACCTGCCTGCCCCCCCGCCACCGCAGAACTACCTGGCTCTGTACAGCGCCATCAAGGCCGCGCACCCGCACCTGCGCCTCATTGCAAACTGCCACCTGGGCGACCTTGGTCCCACAGAGATTTGGGAGTATCATGTGAGCTCACGGGGGGCTGTATGGGCACGCCAGCACACCAGCTGGGCACGGCACCACGCAGGGTGACGCTGGTGGCAGCTGGGCAACTGTACAGGCTGCGGCACTGCATACACATGTGTGTGTGCTCAACCTGCCGCCGCCGTCCCCCCGCCGCCCGCAGGTGTACACCAACCCGCAGGACTTATTTGCCCGGCGGCACGCCTTTGACGGCGCCACCCCCGCGGGCGGCCTCATCTTTGCCAGCGAGTATGCGGTGACAGGTGGGCGGGCGCCACGGTGGTGGCATGGACAACCTGCTGCTGCTGTGCCCTGCTGCCTGCCCAGCTGCCACCGGTGCACCTCCCTGCTCCCTTTCGCACCCTAACCCAGCCACCTGCACCGCTCACCCCGCAGACGGCGGCGGCCAGGGCAACCTGATTGGCGCGGTGGCGGAGGCGGCGTTCATGACGGGCATGGAGCGCAACAGCGGCGGCGGCGGCGCCGTGCTGGCCGGCGCCTACGCTCCGCTTATGGTCAACGCCAACGCCCGCCCCTGGCCCACCAACATGCTCGTATTCGACAACCACAGGTGGGGGGGGGGTGGACCAGGAGCCAGGGGGCTCCACCAGGCCGGGATTCAGAAGACCAGGAGGTCGCCGAGCTGGCTGCTGCCCTCGCCAGGGACAGGGGACACTTCAGCACGCACCCAGATCTTGTTATCACCGCCTGGGCCTTGGCGCCTGCTGGGCCGCAGGGTGTTTGGCATCCCCAGCTTCCACGTGCAGCAGCTGCTGTCCCGCCACCTGGGCACCCAGCTTGTGGGCACGGAGGTGGCGGGCGGGGCCGAGGACTGGCTGGCGGCCAGCGCCACATGCCAGAGCAAGATGTGCGATGAGGTGAGTGGAGCTGTGCTGGGCGCCAGCCCACCCCACCCCTGCACCAGCCTGCCCAGCTGGGCTGGTCCCAGGTTGCGCTGCCGCCCCGTGCGGGCCCTGCATTTACAGCCACCCATCCAGAGCTTCCGGCCTGTATCGAATCCATCCCCTGCTCCCCTGTTTCCTCGCAGGTGGCCGTCAAAGTGGTCAACTTCTCCCCCAGCCAGCAGCTGGTGGGCCTGCGCATCAGGGGCCTGGCGGCTGGCTCCCTGGGCGCCACCGGCCAGCTGCTGGTGCTGGGGGGGCAGCAGCCGCTGGATGAGAACTCGTTTCACGAGCCCCTGAAGGTGTGTGCCTCTACTTCTCTCTGTGCAGCGCACGGGTGGCGATCTGCCACACCCCGGGCAGCACTCACCAGCGCCAGCCGACCCCACCGCCACCACCACCTGCCCTGCCCGCAGGTGGCCACACGCACCGAGGCCATCAGCGGGGTGGCGGAGCAGTTTGAGCTGGCGCTGCCCGCCTGGAGCGTGAGCGTGCTGAAGCTGCGCATCGTGCCGCCGGCAGCCAAGAAGTAGCCCAGCATTGCCCCCATGCACCTGCCCCGCCACCCACGTGCCTCTCAACTGCTCCAGTGCAATTGCGACTGCCATGCTGTATGCTTACACATTGTGTGCCTGCAAAGAAGAAGAAGAAGTTGCGAGGTGGCAGAAAGTGCCAGTGCTGAAGGAGAATAGGAAGCGGCAAGGGATAACGGCAGGAAGACAAAGAGTTAATCTGAAGAAAGCCGAGGGGACAGCAGGCCCGCTACTTGCGGGGCCGCTTGCTGCTGCGGTGCTTGGCCTCCTCCTCGCTGGTCCGCTTGTCCCGCCCCTCCCGGCTCTTCCTCTGCGCCGCGTCCACACCCTGGCTGTGAGCAGCCGCAACTATGGCCCGGTCAAACAGCCGCGGCCCCAGCGCCTTGTCCCGATCAGCATGCTTGCGCTGCCGCCACTCCTCTTCCTTCTCCGGCGCTGGCGCTGCTGCTGCTGCTGCCGCAGCTGCGGCGCCTGCAGCAGGCGATGGCTCGGCGGCAGGCTGCTGCCGCACCTCCGCTGCAGGCTGCTCCCCACCGTGGCTGCTGCGCTGCTTCTCGTGGTCGTCGCTGCCGGGGGGCTTGTCCTGCAGCATGCCATACACACCAGGCAACCGGGTCGGTTGGCTGGTTCGGCAAGCGATCCAGCGAAGCTGCATGCTGCCGTTCCACCAAACGAGGCGCCATGCATTGCTGCACCGCCACACCCACCTTCTTGTCCCGCTTGTGCCGCTTCTCCTTCTTCTCCTTCTTCTCTTTCTTCTCTTTCTTGTGCCGCTTCTCCTTGCGCTCCCTGCACGAGCCAAGCAGAGCTTGATGTGTCAGTGACGCGCGGCTGGGACAGCAGGCGTTGCTGAGCAGATGGAGGAGCACTGCCGCCCCTGCTCAGCGTGCTCCGCTCCCTCTTGCCCTGATATGCTCTTTGCACTGGAGTTGCAGGCAGCAGCCCCTGTGGCTCCCATGCTCACTTGTGATGGTGCCCAGGCTTCTGCTCAGCCGCCGCGCCCACCGCCGCCAGCTCCGTGCCGCCCTCACTGCCGCCACTCAGTTGAAGCTCCAGCTCCAGCTCATCGCTCACGCCGCCGTCAAGTGCTGCCACAGGCTCTGCCGGCCCTGGGCGGGGCCCAGCTGCTGGGGCCTGCTGCTGCTCTGCTGCGGGGGACGGCTGCTTGCTGCCGCGCTGCTCGTGCCTGCAGCAGTACAGTTGGCTGCGAAAACACATTGCGGGAAGGCAACCAGAGAGAGAATGCACTTGGAAGAAAAGAACAAAAAGAGCAGCAGAAGGAGAAGAAGAGATGGCCAATTAGCAGGCCAGGAGCAACTGCCAAGAGCAGCTGGCATGGATGTGCATCAACACGGCTCATGTGTGCCTGGCATGCCCTTGCACGCAGCATGTCGCAGCACGCCTGCGGCGCTCTCAGTGATAGCAGTGCATTGCTCATGAGGCAGCAGGCAGGGTGCGCGTGCGCTGAAGATGGAGAGGCACACTGGCCACGCATGGGAGCACCTCGCCTCCGCCCAGCCCCCGGCAGCTGATCACGCAGCAAGCAGCGCATGTAGCTGCAGCGGGACGTCCGCAGTGCACGGCACACAACTGTCCTTGCCAGCCAGGCTGCCACCCACCACGCTGGCGCGGCACTGAGAGCCACAGTTATACTTGGCTGGATAGTGACGAGGTGTGATCGGGAAACAAATAGTGGGAATGTGGGGGGGCGCACGCGCGCGCATGCTAACCTGGCACCGTCACCGGACTCTGCTTCGGCCTGCTGCGCAGGCGCCGACGCTTGCGCCTGCCTGGGGGAGGGTTCCGCTGCCACGGGCTCTGGCGCCGCGGGTGCCGCGTCTGCCGTGGGCTGCCAGCGGTCGTCCTTGGGCACGCCCTCCTCGCGCCGCTGCCGCCGCTCGCGCCCGCCAGAGCCGTCGCGGTCGCGGCTGCGCGACCGCCGCTCCCTGCCGCGCTTGCTGCGGCACTCCTTGTCCTCCTTCTCCCGCTCCGGCCGGCTGCTGCGGTGGGAGCGCTCCTCGCGCCCCTCGCTGGGACCGGCAGGCTTGGAGGCCTGCGGGGGCGGAGGCGGGGGGCAGGGTCAGCGCATGGGGCTGTGCGGCACACGCGCACAGCACACCCAGGTCAGCAGGGCCAAGGTGTGCAGCCAGCGCTGCGGACAGCCAGGTGCTGCGCGCTGGGGGAGGCCACCCACCCACCTTGTCCTTCTCTTTGTCGCGCCCCTTACCGCCGCGCTCCCGCTCCTTGTCCTTGTCCGCCTTGCCCTTGACCGCCCTCTCCTTGTCCTTGTCCCTGTCTGCCGCCACCTTGCCTGCCCGCTCCTTGTCCCTGTCTGCCGCCACCTTGCCTGCCCGCTCCTTGTCCCTGTCTGCCGCCACCTTGGCGCCGCGATCCTTGGCATCCTTGGCGCCGCGCTCCCTGCTGCGCCCCCGCACATCACTCTGCGAGGCCACGGGCCGCCCCTCCCGGCTGCGGCTGCGCTGCGAGGGCATTGGCCGGCGCTCACGGCTGCGGCTGCGCTGCGAGGGCATCGGGCGGCCCTCGCGGCTGCGGCTGCGCTGCGACGGCATCATTGGCCGCTCGCGGCTAGGCAGCCGGCGGCGCGGCGGGCTGCGCAGCCGGGGCGGGGTGCGGCGCCGCGGGGGCGGCAGCTCTGGCAGGCGCAGCGGCGGCATGTTGAAGCGTGCGCGGTACTGATCTTGCATCCGCTCAAACTCTGCAGGGACAGGCGGCGGCGAGAGGTCAGCAGGAGGAACAAGCACGGCGGGAGTACAAAAGAACGAGCAGCGCTGCTCAGCCCTCCTGCACCACGCCCAGCCAACTTTGCTGCAGGGCAACCCAGGCGGGCCCCGACAGGCGGAGCCGGCAGCGGCTGGCGCCACCCACCCGCGCGCGGCAGCGGCTCTGGGCGGTCAAACGCGCAGCGCAGGAAGTCGGGCGGCCCGCGGGGCAGCAGCGCCGTCTGCATGAACATACTGAAGAAGCCGGCGCCGGGCATGGCGCCAAAGGGCGCAGACGCCGCCAGCTCGGCCTCGCCAGCCAACATCGGCGCGGCCACGGGCCCCAACGCCGCACCGCCAGCTGCCGGCGCCGGCACCGCTGCTGCGGCTCCGGCAGCCCCCGGCTCGGCCTTCACCGCAAGCGCCGCTGCCGCCGCCGAGGCGCTCTCCGCCGCCGGCTTGCTGTCCAGCAGAAGCAGCGGCGGCTTGGCCTCGCCGCCCGCTGCCGGCACCGCCGCCTGCTGCTGCTGCTGCGCCGCCTCGGGCTGCTGCTGCGGCGCCGCGGTGGGCAGGCCCAGTATCTCTCGGGCAAAGGCGTCCTCGTTGGCTACCAGCGTGCCCATCTGGCCCCCCGGCAGCACGAGGCCGCCCTCCTCCGACAGCGCCAGGCGGGTCATGGGGATGCCCACCGGCGGGCGCACGCGCTTCCTGTCAAAGTTGGGGTCGCCCTGGGTGGGGCACTCCTGCACCCAGTGCTGGCCAACGGCCTCGCACCTGCAGCGCCAGGGGGTAGGAGCGGGCGCACGTCAGCGAGGCACAGACACGGCTGGGGCCGGCGACGAGGCACAGAAGGGCCCTGCGGGCTCCCCAGCTGCTAGCTGCAGGCATGCTGCTCCCCGGCCCTCCTCCCTCCCCCTCCCTTCCTCCCTAGGCTCACCTGGGGCAGCGATAGTCGTAGGGCACGCCTCCGCCTGCGCCACGCCCGCGCCCGCGCCCGCGCATCGCGCCCTGCCGCACCTCGCGCTGCCACGTGCTGGCGGTGCCCTGCAGCAGGCTCTGCAGCGCCTTGTCCTCGTCCTCCCGCACCAGCGCCGCCGTGGGCTGCTCGCTGTAGTAGTCGCCGCCAAACTCGTCACCCGCCGCCGGTTGGGTGCTGCCGCCGTTGGCTGCCGCGACCGCGGGTGGCGCGGCGGACGCCGCCGCGCCGCCCGCCGAGCTCTGCAGCGGCTTGAACTTGGCGGCGGGGGAGCGCTTGACCAGGACCAGGGTGTTGCGGGGGATGACCTTGGACTCATCCGCCTGCTCCTCGCCGGAGGTGGCGTCAAACAGCGTCAGCTCCGCCGCGCCGTCGGCCCCCAGCCCCCGCTTCAGCGCAATCAGCCGTTTGACCTCGCCGATCTGGATGACGGCGCCGTCAAAGGTGACCACATCCTCGGCCACCGCGTTCTTGAAGCGGTAGCGCACCTGGCTGGACATGCTGCCGCCGTGGGAGCCCGCCGAGCGATGGGCGGTGGGGGGTCACCGCGGGCTGATGCCGACGCGCCGACGCGCGGCTGCCACGCCGGCTCTCAAGCGCCGCCTCCCTGGCCCTGCTGCTGGCCAAGCGGCTGCGCCCAGTGCCGCGCAGGGGGGCGCCTCCAACTCTGGCCCTGCCCCTGCCCGCGCCGCGCGATTCCTGCCTCAGGGACACGCTGGGTGGGCTTGTCGGCGGCTGGGCAGCGCTGATGCGCGTCGGAAGTGTGCAGTGCAGATGCAGCCGCGTGTAGAGACCACACACTGGCCGAAGGATGGGCGGCCAAAACCGAACTCGAAAAAATTGCACGGGAAAGCCAGAGCTCCCGATTTCCCCCACTAGGAGTCCCCGCGGAGCCCGGTTGCCTCCTGCAAGGGGGCATCAAGGACCTGGTTTCGTCCATTCTGTCCGCTGGCCTTTCCTTGGCCTCCAAACCAAGGTCCTGCCGGGTGGGAAGGCCGCATTGCCCCCAATGATCGCCTTTTTGCAGCGGGCTGGGCGGACCAGGCCGCTGCAGGCCCAGGCGCGGCGCGCCCCACGGGCAAGTTACAGGGGCGCATTGGTGGTGCGGGCCGTTGAGACGTATGCCCGCGACTTCACCAAGGCGCCACGCCTCATTCAGGTTGGCGGTGGACGGCAGCACCGGCAACAAGTTGTTGCCCTGGCTGTGGATTTTGACTGCTCACACCACATAAGCAGCACTGGCACAGCCAGTTACACCGACTATGTCCTGAATTTGCGCCGTTGATGGCGGAGCAAGCCGCATTGACCAGCGGCATCACCTCACCTGCCGCGCCTACCTCCCCCCACAGCACAAGAATGAGGCCAAGGCCTTCTACGCCTTCCTGTCCCAAGTGTACGATTACGTTGTGAACCCCGGCCACTGGACGACGGAAATGCGGGAGGATGCGCTGCAGCCAGCCCAGCTGGACAGCGCAGACCTGAAGGTGAGGGTGGCGCCCAGGTTGACGCCAGCATGCATCATCCCGCCTCGCAGCATGGTCACTTTCTGGCCCTCTTCCAACTGCCGCGCCGCCCCTCGGCACAGGTGGTGGACGTCGGCGGCGGTACCGGCTTCTGCACGCAGGGCGTGGTCAAGGCGGGCATCCCGCCAGCCAACATCACGCTGATTGACCAGTCGCCGCAGCAGCTGGCCAAGGCGCGGGCCAAGGCGGACCTCAAGGGAGCCACCATCCTGGAGGTGCGCCCCCGCTCTGGGCTGTGTTGGCAGCAGCAGTTCCTGTGGGGGGGTGGCTGGCGTTGCAGGTCGCCTCACCCCCACCTGCTGCCGGGGGGCTGCAGGGCGATGCTGAGGACCTGCCCTTTGAGACCGACACCTTTGATAGATATGTGTCAGCGGGCAGCATAGGTAGGTGGGACAGCGCCTTTTGCCTGGCTGGCTGTTTGCAGAGGATGGGTTTGGTATTACCACACCCCTGGCGGGATTGCTGTTCACCCTGCCTACCAGCCTCTGCCCATTAGGGCGCCTTCCTCCTCTGCCACCACTAGCGCGAGTCTATTCACCGTCTAGGGAGAGTCTATTCACCCCCGCCCCCCCGCCTCTACTGTGGCGCAGAGTACTGGCCAGAGCCGCAGCGGGGGATCTGCGAGGCTTACCGTGTGCTGCGCCCCGGTGGCGTGGCCTGCATGATTGGTGGGTGTGCTGGTCGATGGATGGTCCTGCAAGATGCAGCCGCATGTGGCAATGCTGCCTTACTGCAGACGCTCTCCCGACCCCGGTCTGTCCTGGCTGCAGGTCCGGTGCACCCCACCCACCCCATCTCCCGCACCATGGCCGACCTGTGGATGCTGTTCCCCACCGAGGAGGAGTACCTGCAGGTGGGGAGGCAGTCATGGCAGCTAAGGGCGGGCAGATGGAGGAGGGGATGGCTGGCATGGCGGCTCCATGCGCTCATCACGCTTTGCGCCCCCCATGCCCTGCCGCCCGCAGTGGTTCAAGGCGGCCGGGTTTGCCGACGTGCAGCTGAAGCGCATCGGGCCCAGCTGGTACCGCGGCGTGCGGCGCCACGGCCTCATCATGGGCTGCTCCGTGACGGCCACCAAGCCGGCGGCGGGGCCCTCCCCACTGGAGCTGGGGCCCAAGGCGGAGGTGTCTGAGCAGGCCAACACCAACCCGCTCTCCTTCCTGCTGCGCGTGGTGCTGGGCAGCGTGGGAGGTGCGCTACGCCCGGCCAGCGCCTCGACTTGGCTCACACAGCGGATTCGAAGCCGCTGCTCGGGGGCAGCGCTGCATGCCAGCAGAGGGGCCACACGGGGCGCTGCGACCTGTCATGGCTGCCTGGATGCAGCTGGGCATCGATGCTGCTCGCCTGGCCCCTCCACCCGTTGCTGCAGGGTTCTGGTACTTCCTTTTGCCGGTTTACATGTGAGCTGCCCGCCCTGCCTGGGCCAACGTGCCGGTGTCCCCTCGCCAAATGCCGGCAGCCACACGTCAGTTCCATCGTGATGTCTTTCGTCATCCATGTTATCTCTTTGCTCCTGTGTGCTGCAGGTGGCTGAAGAACCTGGTGTGGCCGCGCACCGGGCCCCTGGCAGACAAGTTCTGAGTGCAGCAGGGCCTGCCATCCCCGACCGATTCGATCTACCTGCCTGCAACGTCTGTACATGATCTGCTGATGCTGCTCCTGGTGCGCATTGCTTTACAATCTGTGGCACGGTGAACTGTATATTGGTATTTGATGAACAAAATCGAACGCAAACGTCAGAGAACACACTTCAAAAAGGTGTCGGTTTGATTTCGTTGGCTGCTGGTAACTAGTTGTGTTGCGTAATATAATATCACAAGGGGGCTTCTCTCGTGCCATCTGGTCTTTACACCGCTTTCCGCCTCCCCTTAGCCCGACTTCTTGCGGAGCCAGCCAAACATGCCCTTGCCCGCCGACGCCGGCTTCACCTTCTTCTGGCTGGGCATCTGCCGGGGGGTCAGCCCCAGCTGCTGCTTGGCATACTCCAGCTCCAGCAGGTCGCCATCATCCGTGGTGCGCCGCCAGGAGCTGGTGCGGCGTGTGCGGCCCGCCGGCGGCGCCTCTGTTGGAACCTGCTCGACGGTGGAAGTGGCAAGGAGCGGGATGGAAGTGAAGCCAACCGGCTTCTCTGGCGGCACTGGATTGCCGTGGATGTCCATTGCCTGCAGCAGAATGATCGGAATCTTTTTGAAAAGAGGGGGCAAGCGATAGCGGCACACTGGCGGGGGGCGCCGGCGCTGGCGACAGCCCTTGAAAACATCAATACCTCTATCCAGGCCGTGGAATGTAGGTTGAGAGCCTTGGAACTGCGGAAGAGCGAACGGGGTGGGGCGCTCCGCTTGTAGATCTGGAGAATGCCCACAAGATGCTTGCTTCCAAGGAAGACAGGAGCCCCTCTCAAGAGCTGGAAATAAACTCGTTACGAGCTTGCAGACGGTGCCAAATGGCCTCAAGGGCGCCTCTGGGTGCCAAACGCGGGGAGCCAGGGGGCCTGCACCGCCTGCTGCGTGTCCAGCCTGGCCGCCGCCGCGATACAGGAGTCTAATGCATGCATGCCTATGCATTGCAAAACTGGTCGGTCGATCAGTCCCCAGCCACAGCCGCTGCGTTCTGCAGCCAATCGCTTCTGCCGTCTGCACCAACGTTTGGAGCCTCGGTGACTGGTGCTTGCAAAGAAGGGCGCGATGCTGAAGAAAAAGAAGGTGTGAAACGCGCGGCATGGCGTGCATGTGTCTTCGTTGCATGGTGTGGGCGCCCGGGGCCTGCGGGGCGCCCACTTAAATGCCTGAAAGCATTCCCTGGCGTGTCCACATGTGCGATGCGCACGGCGGTCTGGCCGGCCGACCTCCCGCCGCTGCCGCCGCCTGTTGCACGCCGGGCGGGCCACCGCCCACCGCGCCCTCCCTGCACCGTCCCTCCCCGCCGCAGGGCCAGTCTGGCAATGCGGTACAGTACCTGACGCGCAACCAGGCGCTGAAGAAGCTGCAGCTGAAGCTGTCTGAGTTCCGGCGGCTGTGCATCCTCAAGGGCATCCACCCGCGGGAGCCCAAGAAGAAGCCGCAGGCGCGCGGCGCCGCAGCAGCGCGGCGGCAGCCCTTGTGCTATTGCTGACGGGCTAGCTGATGCCCGCTAGCGCACCGCATCCCACGCTGCCGAGGCGCAGCGCCGCCCCCTGTCCCCTGCACGCCGGTGCCCTGTCGCGCACCCCCAGCCCACCGCACCAACCAGGCTGCTAGCGCGTCCCCGTCCCCCTGCCGCAGGGCCAGCACAAGACCTACTACCACGCCAAAGACATCTCCTACCTGCTGCACGAGCCGCTGCTGAAGAAGGCGCGGGAGCTGTATGCGCACGAGAAGAAAGTGCGGCGGGCGAGGGCCAAGCAGAACCGGGAGCTGGCGGCGCGGCTGGCGGCGCGCAGGCCCTCGGCCCGCCTCGACCACCTCGTGCGCGAGAGGTGGGTGCGGTTGTAGTGTGGGTGTAGGTGTGGGTGGAATGGGGCGGCAGGGGGCCTGGCCCTGGGGCATGAACGTTTTTTTAATAAGATTTTTTTTTTAATAAGATTTATACGGATGGAAAGGAAATTAAAAGACAAGTGGGCTGCCAGGGCTGGGCTGGGTTAGGCTGGGCTGGGGTCCCGTGTGTGTGAGGCATGAGTGGAGGGGCACTACATGCCCGCCCACCGCCCACCTCCCCCTCTCCCTCCACCCCCCCACCCCCCACCCCACCCCCCGCAGGTACCCCTCCTTTGTGGATGCGCTGCGCGACCTGAC